ACCCCCTTCCTGGTCCCGCTGTCTGGGTTTGCAGCACCCAGGACCCCCAGCCAGTGGGTCTGTGAGAGACCCCTATTCAAGAGTGACGGGGGCAGCCGGTAGCTGCAGACCGCACACGTAGGTTTTGGGGAGAACTAACTGATTCTATATGTAAAAAAGAAAGCGTTGCTTGTAATGGTCTCTCTGGACAGAGAAATGTTTTCGAAGCGACACAGCTGCAATCCTAATTTGTGGCCGTTACCGCTCCTGTGGCGCAACGTCGTCTGTAACGAGCAGAGGCTGCGCACAAACCGTTACCGGCCGCGCTGCAGGTCAGAGCTTCTGCTGCGTTGCAAACCGGGCGCCTCCAGTGTTTCCCCACAGCGTGGGGACGGCCAGGCAGGCGCCGCCAAAGCCGGGAAGCAGCGCTGAGCACAACGGGGAGCGAAACTCTCTGAGTTTCTCTTCTGCCCCGATCGACTGAAATGCGGAGAGAAAACAGATAATGGCAGCGAAGAAAATTAAGGGAGATGGTGAGATGATCTCCACCTTAATGATCTGCTGTGCCACCAGCTACAAAATCCTGAGTGTGAGTGAATTCTGTGCCACGGGTGATGCTCAGACCAGGCATTGTCTTGCTGCCCACCGACCCCAGCTCCTCCCAGCACCCTGGTCTCTGGCTGGCCTCACGACCTGCTCTGGGGTTCAGGTACTTACTTGTAGGCTTCTGCGTCCCGAAGTGCAGCTCCAGGTCGAGGTATTTGACCATATCACTCAGCTTGTCGTAATCCGAGTCTTCGCCGAGCTGCAGGAGGAGGAAGAGTCAGGAGCTGTGCTGGGGCAGGGGATGGTCCAACACCGTCCGCCCCTGCTGGTCCACCTTCTCTCCATCCCACACTAAGCTCTGCATCCCCAGAAGAAACCAGGACACATCGATGGTGCTGCCCTGTACCTGGAGACTCAGCCATGAGTCTCTCTCTCTGGAGAAATCAGAGCCTGGTGAACCATTCGCCTCTGTGGAGGCAGTTGCTACAGAAGTCATTAAACCCGTCGGGTGGGACCTCATTTCAGAAGAAAGAGAGGAACCTGGAGATTCACCCCATCAGCATTTCCTCACACCCTGCAGGGCAGCTCCACGGAGTCGTTTGGCTTCTGACACAGATGGAATCCCACAGAGCACGACTGCTCTTCGCTTGCTACTTGGGCGCGTTGCTTTGCTGAAGGACAAAGTGGGAATTCCAGGAACTTTGTGAGTTTTTTGCATACAAAAAAAAAATTGCAGGGAAGGAGCATCTTGTTCTCCAGAGAGAAGGACCTGCAGGTTGCCAAGTGCTTGCTATGAGGTGAGTGCCTGTGGGACTGGAAGATGATCACACACACAGCTGCCCTCCAGCTGCTCAGGGCATGAAGAATACGGCACATCTGAACACATTCTGCACCGTGAGAGACACGGAGGCTGGAAGCTAAACTCCAGGGAGGGCAGCTTCCCCCTGCAGGGACTCATATCCACCTCCAGAGTTCTGCATCCCTTCAAGTCTGCGATGCCAAAGGATTATCACATCTGCTCTCACTCCTCACCTCTGCTTTCCCTCCTCCCGTGCCTCGATGCTCTCCCCATCGCCCTACTTTCCCACCTATAAAACCTCCCACAGTTGCAGAACTTGTCTGAGGGCAGCTCCTGCCTGTGTCAGCCCACAGAGAGCAGGAACGCAAGCGCTCCCCAGCACGCTGCAGGAAATAAAACACGTTTCAGGTTCTTTCCAGAGCCTCTTCTCTTCCTGGCAGTTTTGGTCCAAACAAATAACAGGATGAAAATAAAGACGAGGCTTTCTGTGACGTGGCATCCTCAGAGTGCCAAGGCACTGAACAGGTGGCCCAACAAGAGGTTAGAATCATAGAATCATGGAATCAATCATAGAATCATAGATTACGGGGTTGGAAGGGACCTCGAGGATCAATCTGGCCCACCCCTTTAAGGTAAAGAAATACAGTTTAAATGAGCTGGCCCAGCACCCCTGTCAAGTCGAGCCTTAAAAGTGTCTAAGGTTGGGGAATCCACCACAGGATGCTCCTGGTGGTTCCAGAGAATGTTTATCGATGTGGTGATAGGCAGTTCATATATTTTATATATACGTA